GTGCATATATCCGTTCTTGTCATGGCTCTCACTTCTTTAGGGTATACACCTCGTAATGGAATGGCTGAGTCAAATGGTATTTCTAGTTCCAACTTTTGAAGGAATAGCCATACTGTTTTCCACAATGGTTGTGCCATTTTACAGTCCCACCAGTAGTGTATGAGAGTCCCAATCTCTCTACAACCTCACCAGCATTTGTTATTTTCTGTCTTGTTGAACTTTGCTACTAGTGTGATTGGACTTTTTTTACCTTTAAAATTCCATTGGTAATTTTTCCATATTTACTAGTCTAGAAGAAGTTTGGAATGTGCTTGTTACATTCCATAAAATATTCTGTTGCTCTCCTGCTTGTTTAAGTAGATATGAATAGATGCAAATAGAAATCAACTGTATTTCATGAAAAAATGATCGGTCATCATTTGGGGGGATTTATTTGTTTTGGGTAAAAGTTAATATCAAAGATAAACTTTAAAATTTTCCAAAAACATGTTGATTAACAAGCACTCTGTAAAATTTCTTTCTAGATAAGGAAAAATTAAATATTCATAGCACTAAGATAAATCCATCTTGCTTAAGTATTCATAAAGACTTGGCAGCAAAAGCAAGTGTCTACTGCTGTTTTTCCATTAATTTATATTACAGCATGAGAGTTGCATTCCAGCAGGGAAATATTTTAGCTCTGGGATTTATGAAAATTGTGCTCATAATTTTAAAAATCATTCTCAATGTTCTTTTTAAGAAGGAAAATTTTTTGTAAATATGGCTGTTTCTAGTCAAAATAATACAAAAATATGATAATGTTTTGCATATAGAAATTGCTAACATGGACAGTCTTGATACCCTTGCCATCAGCTGCCCTGTTGTTGTTGTTATGTGCCGTCAAGTCGGACCCGACTCCTAGTGACCCCTTCTTGGGTTGCCGAGGCAGTATCACTACAGAGGTAGATTGCCCAACCTTCCTTCTGAGGAGTGACTGGTGGGTTTGAACCATCAGCCTTCTGGTTAGCAGTCAAGTGCCTTAGGCGCTACGCTACCAGAGCTGCTCTGGGCAGGAGTAAACTCCCTGGGAATCATTGCCTGGGTCTATAAATACAGCCTGGATGAAGAACAGCTCTCCTTTCTGCTTTTCAGCTGCAGACATTATCTCCCTGCACCAACTAAGCTTTCCCATGAAACCTCAATCTGTTAACTCCCAGTGGATTGAGGTGGCTGATGAATGGGTTAAAACAGCCTCGCTCTCTCTGCATAGGTACCTCTTTATCCAGAGATAGTCTCCCCGCACAGTAATGCAGTAGTGAGCGTTAGCAAGATTCCCACATAGCGCTTCCTTTGCTGCTATATCTCTGGAAAAGATGGCAAAAACCCGATAGCACTGGCTGTCTCTGGGGAGGGAACTGAGTGGCTGGGAGAAGGCGTGGTGGGATACTTTTCACTGCTCACCCCTTTGAACCTTTTGAATTTTTGAAACATAAGAATTTATCTGGTAGCATAGTGCCTAAGGCATTTGACTGCTAACCAGAAGACTGGCAGTTCAAACCCACTAGCCACTCTGCAGAAGGAAGATGGGGTGGCATTCTAC